ATACATATTTCCTATATATTTGCGATCAATTTATAAAATACATTTATGAATTTATTTTTGCGCGCGTGCGCGCGCGCACACACACACATATATATTAAAGATAAGTCGAAAACCTTTTTGAATTTAATGTGGATTTTTAAAAATATATATTATACTTTATTTTCCATATATTTTGCAAAAAATATGGAAAATAAAGTATAATAACATTTTAAAAAATTCATATTAAAAACAAAATATTTGCGTCTTTTCTCTTCTCTTTAAAATATACACTTTTCTGTCGTTGGATCAACTATAACCTCTTCATTACACACACACACACACACACACACACACACACACACACATAATATATATATATATATATATATATATATATATATATAGAGAGAGAGAGAGAGAGAGAGAGAGATACAGGGTGTATCGAAATATACACATTTTCGGGGCGGTTTCCTGACACCAAAACAAGGTAAAATATCCATATAAACATATGTCTATAAGGCCATTATTGTACCTCATCACAACAACTCATAACAAATATTCGAAATATCCTATGCTTGCTTCTACACACGCATGCACACGTCGGATAATTGACTGTTAGACCCTTTCAGATACTCACACACGGTTTCCATGACACGTTAATGAAGCGTGTCTGCGTTATTAATGTCTACTGCATAAACCAATTGTTTTACGTGACTCCACAGATAAACAGCCGAAGGATTGAGGTCGGAGTAACGCGTAGGTCATGTAACCGGTCATTCCATACCGATTCATCTTTCATGGCAAATGTTCATGAAAAATATGACTAAAATGTGCTGAAGCCCCATTATGAATGAACCACATATGTTTTCGTAGTAGCAGAGGTATATCTTCTAGCAAGTCTGAAAGTGTGTACGGAATAAAGTCCATGTAGAAAGTTCCTGTAAGACGTGCTGGAAGAATATATGGAGTTACAGTCACTTAAAATTCTAGGTCACACATTAAGCGTAAACTGATGCTGGTTTCTACCCTGTATTGTACCTTCAGGATTCTGATTTGACTATAAAGGTTGACTGTGTACATTTGTTATTCTATCTCTTCCAAATGTTGCCTCATCGGTAAACAAGACTGTAGAGAAAACAATGAATCGGCAGTTTGTGCAAAAGTTCTCCCATCGTGAGTGATCAGAGGACGAAAGACACTGCACCTGTAGCAAGTGCTACGGATAAAGGAGCTGCTCTTAAAGTTTCCCCCATGTGGTACGATGAGATGTACAACATGCTAGGGCCACTTGACGTGTGCTGATAACTAAATCGTCTCCGACAATTTGTAGAGTGTGTTCTATGTGGTTAGGCGTATGAGCATAGTTTTTGGTGGCACGAATTCTATCTCATCAACGCGATGATACACAGCAGCAAAGTTTGGAAATATCATTTGATATGCAGATCTGGATGCAGCCACGCGTCCATTATCATCCGTATGTAAAAATCATATCTGCCTGCTCACAATATGAATATCTTGCCATTGTTAAACACTTATCAGTTAACTCACTACTACACAACGTCAAACGTTGAAGCCACAAGTGTATACGAATTACAACATAAATGATAGTTTACATGGCAACACAGCGCCATCTACCATAAACTTTCTTTAAACCTAATAACTGAAAAATGAAGGATCTGCGGACATATGTTCATATGGACATTTGTCCTTGTTTTGATGTGAAGAACCCGACTCTAATATTTGTCAAAGTATTTTGATACACCGTGTGTATGTATGTATGTTTATGCATGTATCAAATATATATATATATATATATATATATATATATATATATATATATATATATATATATATATATATATGTGTGTGTGTGTGTGTGAGTGCGAGTTTTGTGTATTGTATTAATTAGACTAGGGTCTGAATGTTCCTTTCTTTAAAAATCGTTTAAATGTAGCGAACTGTTTCTCATTCTCTGTGTCAAAATATTTAGATTATCTGACGATGCAAAACTGTTCTTCATATATGATAATTAGCAACATATATGATGACCAGTCATCACTTACTCCTAAGTACGGAATAGATAGATAGATCGGAAAATTCGTTCTGAATTATTTTGTTTTGGGATCAAAACGGGAGTGAGTTGCGATTGTCATAAAAGAACAAGGTGGGAAAATTGCAGAATAAAATAAGCCTATGGCGTCTGGAATAGTTGATAAAAATGTATTTAAACAGACGGTCAGGTCTACCTATTTCAGACGTGAGACTATCATGGTTGACACTAAAGGAATGCATCCTTTATTATACTTATGCTGAAGAATTCATTTTTCATCAATTTAGAAAGCTTTTCTTGCTAAATTTAAAATCATCATTTTTTTGTTAGAAAGAAAAACGACAGATATTGGTAAATTTGCTTTTTAATAACCGCGTTAATGTCTAAAGAAAAAGAAACACTTGTCATCGCTTTGCGACACAACTTAAGTGCGTAGTAATTTAGACAAGTAAGATCAGTTAAGAGCAGTAAAAAGGCCGTTAATTAATGCTTCCGCGCTCAAAATGTTCCGCAGTGAATGTAATTAAACAAGGCTAGTAACGACGGCTGAACGCGAATGAGTCCGAACTTTTCTTGTCGATAATTCCAAAACGGTAGGTTTTATTATAATTTAATTGTTATTTCGTGTTCAGCATGTATATTTACACGGAAATATGACGATTTCGGAAAATTTTAATAGATATTTAACGCGGGGATGAAAACAAATTTACCCATATATTTCTGGACTAATTGACCACATTCTATTAGGTTGGTGCAAAAATAATTTCGTTTTCTCACATAGTAACATATGTTAGAAAACGAAATTATTTTTACACCAACCTAATAATTGAGTCGAAGCAATCACTTAAATTTAAGCATTCAAACTATCTTTTGGTCCAGAGATGAATTAAAGTTATGATTTGCAATAATGTCTTTTTTGAATTAAAACGAATGATCAGATTCTTGTAGACGTGATTTTTCTGCACTCTATTCTTAGTCTCGTCAGATCGAGACGTTCATCTGGGTCACGTGTATGGGGCCAAATTCACTATAAAATATTTAAACTGTTAGCCGCTTTCTCAGATCAAGAAATAAATTAGAAATGTTTTGATATGAAGCATGTAGGTATGGAGAGGACCATACTTCTTAGACCCTCGTGGACTGGTGCTACAGAATCTCAGTCGCAGAATAGTACCAGATAAAAAGAAATCACATCACTTGTGGACTTTCAACAGTAGCAACAATTGAAATGGATATCACATGTAACTCGAAGAGAGAATAATGACACACTGAAGATGGTGACAATACGTACTACTTCAAACGAAAAGCCCCCCTCCCCCATTGAAACTGGAAAGACCGATAACAGTTATTGGATTTGTGCAACTTATTTTAATGAGAAATATTTTTACGAGATTTGATAAATTTCATCCTAAAGTAGCACCGGATGCTCTGTCAACGAATACCGAATATTTCCTTATAAGGAAACGGCTAATTACCATTATCTTTATCTTAGTCACACACCTCTATATATAGCCTTCAGAACTTTCATTTGAAATCGGATTCACGATTTTGATTCAAATATAACCTTCTATGTGAGTTGCTATCAACTTGTGTGTTTTATAAAAATTAAACACTTCCTTATTGAAGAGTCAGGAAAGTATTTTTTTCATTTTTAATTGATAATTAATTATCAGAAGGACAGCTGATCGGACAGTTGCTATAATTTGATTCTAGGAAGAAAATCATGACATACACATGTATAATAATAGCATACAAATATATACCTATATAATACTAAAAATCACTGATTGTGTGTGTGCTTGTTTGTTGCGTCCGTCCGGTGCATAATGATTTAAGTCAATTTGATTTAAGTGAATAAAATTTAAAAATACCAGTTCTTTATACAGTAAGTATTTTTATTTTAAGTTTATTCAATAGACAATTTTTTAATTAAAATAATTTTGACAGAAAGAAGTCGCGCTTTGCTGTTTCGTCCAGTTGTTTGTAGAGTAATTATTTATATTTCAGCTTTTTTTTAAACAAGTAATATTTTAAAAATTTAAAAAGTATTTTTATCATATTTAAAAATATTTTCAAGTTAATATGATTTAAAATATTTTTTGGTATATTATAAAAACATTTTTAAGCTAATCTGATTTGAAGCTCAAATTTATTCCGGATTTTATCAAATGTTAATAATAATCAGTAAAATGTTAAACAATGAACTTATAAACCAGACCCCAATGATGACACGAACGAATTGAAATATTAAAAAAAAAACAAAAACTTTTTATTTCAATGGAATGTTGAAATCAACTTCAATGTTTTATAACCTGAACTGTCAGTGGCACAACGGGTCACGGATAGTCTAGTATGACATAGTATTAGTATCCAACGTCAAAATCATTTGATGTTTGCTTCCGCATTGAAAATATTTATTGCATAAGTGAGTGTTTATCGGCGTTATTTTCATCTTTTGCACCATAGACTTGTCTATAAGATAAGATTATTTTATGAGAAAGTTTTTATTTCAGCATTTGTATGTTTTTGTTGCAGTTAACATTTATTCACGAGCACGTTTGGGAGTATGTATGCGCGTATTTGTATGTGCGTGTGCGTGTGTGTTCATATGTGATTTTTGTAGGTGTGTTGTGTATTTGATTGTATGAAAAGATAATGCACTTTCGTTCCATTATGAACATAAGAGAGAATTTGACAGAACCGGATTACGCAGTAATATTGAAGTGGAATAGAAAAAGAAAAAAAACGTTCATTTCCATTTGGCGCTATTGTCACTTGAGTTACCAGAAAGGTCTCATTTTTTTTCAAACTGGCTAACATCTATAATTGTGTTTCCAAAGTCTGAACACGACTTTTCCAAAGAAATTATTGAGCATCTCGAAAAGGTAATAATGAATAAAAAAAAAATCTATGTTCATTTGCAAAACAATAATATTCGTTTTAAAGCTCTAGTGTAACTTTACATAGAAAGTTACTTCGTATCTATCTATCTATCTATCTATCTATCTATCTATCTATCTGTCTATCTATCTATCTATATCACACCATGCTGATATCTATAAGTTTTATAAATACCTACAAAGGAGAGGAATATCATCTGTCTATCTTTCTGAGATGAGGTATTGTAATTATTTACAATATTTACATTATTCGAACTGTTGTCCCCATCTTCGTTAACATATTCACGACGTTTCGGACGTTGAGCACTCTGGCCTTCTTCAGGTGATTTGAATTTTTCCCTGGACCCTTTTCGTCCACAGAGGTAGATAGTTCTAGTAACATGTATCATGCCTCTTCCGGATGTCTCATTTATATCCCTTTAACTCAACTCTCCAATTTTTTTTTCACCGCTACAGGAGCAGAACATGACTAAGGACTGTGTGTACGCAATCGCGCGCAGCTGTGATTTGAAATATAAAGGGAAAACAGGCCATCCCTTAAGATAAGACTGAAAGAACATCGTAAAGCCGTAACACGAGGGGAAATAGAAAAATCAGGCGTAGCTGACCACATATCGAGGGAAAAGGGAGATCACCGCTCCCCGTGGAATGAGGGTGAAATTATAGACAGGGAACTTCACTGAAAAATACAAAAAAATTAAGTGATCAGCATATATGCTAGGCCACAAAAATGTCCTAAGTTGGCCAAGTATATAAACGAATAAGATATGGGAACCAGTAATACGGGGTGCTAGAGAAAAGCAATAATACGAATACAATTACAATATGAGCTCAGGTAAAAATAGTTACGAGATATTAAGTTTATAAGTCCCTAAAAAGTCATAAACTGATATCCTCAAGGACACGTGGCCCAGTGGATGAAAGCGTAGATTGGATCCAGTGAATTGAGTTAAAGGGAGATAACTGAGACACCAGAAAGATCATGGAACTAGAAAAATTTATCCCGGTGGACGAAATAAACAGTTTCGTTCGAAATTCCAATCATCAGGAAAAACCCGGAGCGTACAAAAATTGAAACGTCGTGAATATGGCAACAAAGATGAGCACAACAGTTTGAAACAATGTAAATAAAGGAGAGGAAATTGTGGAGAGTCATGATTGCAAACGTCTTAAATGGAAATGACACAGAGAAGAAGAATTCTACATAATTCAGATATAATTTGTCTGAAAACAAAACAAAACTAAAAACATATTTTGGCAAAAAACGGTTTTCATTTGCTCTTTCAGTGGCCTAGACAAAAGGTGAACACAAAAGCCTACACAAAGAGTAATACCAAATTATATGAGGAGTCAGAAAGCTTTGGTAACTGTCTGTCGTCATATCGTATTGTTTCCAATATTTGCATATATAAAAATATAATTGATGAATGTATAGAAATATTACAAGTAAAACAACTTAGCTGATTGATATTACCTACATCATCCAGAATTTCCTACACACACACACACACATATATATATATATATGAAGAAATATAGTCTTATGGTGTGCTATATTTATGGGATAAAGTGCTCAATATCAGAGATAGAGCGTGTGTAAATATAAAAGTGAACATAGAAGTCAACACTTAAAGGAGACAGTCTGTTTCATGCTATATGCAATCGTCAGGCCTGACGATTGCATATAGCATGAAACAATGAAACAGAATGTCGCCTCTAAGTGTTGACTTCTATGTTCACTTATATATATATATATATATATATATATAGTTGCGTTGATAATTTATAATTTGTGAGTTTCATAACTTGTTTTGTTAATTTATCTCCATAACTATTTTTGTTTATGCTCTTAGTAACCTATACAATTGACAATAATATGGTATAGATTAATAAATGATCGATGAAAGGCTTCTCATTTTTGGTTATTTAAATTCGAACAATATTTATGGGATTGTAAGAATTTTTATGAGTAAAGATTGCATTAACAGTTTTTCCTCCAGATATAAATCCTACAATTTAGCCCATGGCTCGAGGGAGGAGATAATTGATACATTTCCCAAATTGCGTTGAAGTGAATGTTACGTACGCGACTGGAATACGAACCCGGCTCTGAGAGTTCACATTCCTAATTGCTATCCATTGTAACACTTGCACATCTGTTTGTAGTTATCTTAATATGTGAATCTTCTGGCGTTTTTTTTATCTAACGCTTTTGCCATGACCCATACATTTTCTTATTATCTGACCATCGGGATATTACAATTTTGGAGTTGAAATTGACATGGAAATCTTTAGAATCTGTCCAGTAGGGATTAGTGTAACTCTGCATTCAGTTTGTCAGAAAAAAAGGAAATAGTGTGGACTCTTCCACAACAAGCCTGTTAACACCTGCTAGGAAATGCACTATTCCTGTTATAATTTTCACCATCACAATTTTGCAAATATATAAGAAGCATTCATTGGTCAATCACCTTCAATCTAGTTTGATGATTGGTCGGTTTCAACCAATCAAACCGCCTGCACGCGACAAATCTCTTTTCCCTCTCAATATGCTTGGAGCCTCCCACGTGATACACAACCATTATAAAAACGGAACACGTGTAAGCTCCCTAAGTTGTTTCTTTTCATTCATTTCTCTCGCGTCTCATTTGCCAAGATGTAATCTTCAAGAACTCCCGTCTTAACTAATGCAGTTAGACGTTAAAGCCTATTACCAACATCCCCCAAGTACGAACTCTGAAATCTATTCTTAACTTTTACCAAATTGTACAACACACAATTCCAAACATGCTAAAGAAACTTTATTCTTCTAAACTACAGTTTAATAATTACTTTCACTTTATGAACTTCGGTACAAATATTACCTAATCTAAGAGACACAACTCTGTCTAAACTTTTCACTCAGTATTCATGCATGTATACCAAACACTAATAAATACAATTGTTACGTTTTGAAACAAAATGATTATGAATCTTTATTTCTCTATCTTTTATTAGTTGTTGTGGATGGAAGATTGTTGAACACACACAATTTTAAGCCTTCTGATAATTCAAACCTTCTATTCCTCTCCAACACACACATCCTACATCCGTATCAATAGTCTATCTTATATCTACTGAAAGGAAATTTGATACGAGAGACAGAAATATCTTGGTGTAGGATGTCAGTAAATTCAGGGATTACTTTTTGGAGAAGAGTTTTGTATTGGGTGATTAGACCCAATATGACAGGGGTCACTGAATGCATATATCTGTGTACGTGAGAGAGTGAGACTAATGAATCATCTATATGTGAAGTAAAAGAGGTGATATAGGTTTGAATTAATGTTACGTGCTTTGCGAGATTCATTTTGAAGAAACATTTCTGAGTTCAAGGTTGATGAAAGGAATCCGTGTTACCACTTATTGTAATATTCGAAGAAACAAACTTTCAGTAAGCCAGTTAGTATTTTAAATTATACACATTTTCTACTGAAAGAGTCGTTTGATGTACGAATCTGAACTCTAAGCCCAGAGCAAAACATCCTCCGTAATCAGTGTGATCTGTTAGTTGAGAGGCAACAAATCTGCGTCTAATAACAGAAATAGAAATTTACAAATCTATCTATCTATCTATCTATCTATCTATCTATCTATCTATCTATCTATCGAAACAACACACATATGCACATATCTGTGTGTGGAGATAGATATAGAATTACATAGTCTAATAATCAAAAAACATTTATTTTTATATGAAGAATATATATATATATATATATATATATATATATATATATAGTTTATGAAAAACTAGGTAATCCGTATGGGTAAACGTAAGGAGGATAAAATCCAGAGAGCTCAATGTAAATCCAGAGCAAATAATTTAAATGTGGTGAAATAATTTATTACATGGAACCTTAAAAGTGGTCTGTATTATTTTTATATATATATATATATATATATATATATATATATATATATATATATATATATATATATATATATATATAATTATGATGCTATATAGCATTCACCGAAAATATTAAATGCTAGTATTATATACATCATATATATATATATATATATATATATATATATATAGATAGAGAGAGAGAGAGAGAGAGATAGAGAGATAGAGAGAGATAGAGAGAGAAGTATGAAAGAGATTAGATTAGATATGTTTGCTATATATATATATATATATATATATATATATATATATATGTTTGTTTAGGCAGCATATTTTCATTGAAGCTTGTTTGTTTAAATAAGCTCTATTACGTCTATTTTTTTAGGATAAATCTTTTAAGTCCCCGAATTAATTTCTTGGTGGCTATACAAAACTGATCAAGAAAAATATCAAAATCTTCTTTGAAATATATTGTCTGAATATATCTATATTTCTTTCCTGAAAAAATAGTTCAATATCTACATGTGACTGATTAGAAAAGGGAATCGAAAATATATGAAATCAATGCAGAGAGGAGAAATGGATAATGGAGACAGACTTTGTAAGAATTTTATTAGACATGTCAAGATTTTCACAGTAAAATTATTATCAAGCAAAGATTCTGGGATATTTTTACATTTGGGATGACAATTATGACTTTGTGAATTTCAGCTTTAAAGAACAGTTTTATAATTTACTGTAAACTATTTGTTGGTATCATGCTCGATATCATACTTAGATAAGGATGCCTTTGCTCATCATATTTATTTAACCTACATCGTGAGACGATCTTAAGAAAACCTACGAGTAAACATTATCTGCGGAATTGCTCTAAACATAATGATGCTGATTGAAAGTTGACTCAGAAAGGTAACTAAAATGATCTCTTAAACAATATTAATGGGAAACTTGAACAAAGCACTGTTAAGTTGATGCCAGTAAGGAAAGGATTCTGCATGTGTAGACTTTGACGGTCTTCCTATGCCTTTCTTTCTTTCTTCCATTATTTAAACAAAATCTTTGTTTAAGTAATTATATTGTTATTGGTATTTATATTTAAAGTCGTATATACATAGAAATTGTATGGATTGGAAAGATGTTATTATTGCAATTGAAGAACAAGATATTGTAATGTTGGATAAAACGTTGGGAACTGGTAGGAAGTTGAACAGACATGAAATATATTGATCTATCAAGAGAGAGATTGGAATCATTGTCCAGAAAAGTGCAACAAAATAAATACCTTTAAGATTGTCACGAAAGAGATTTGAAAAATTTAAACGGGTTCGAAGCAAGTGTAAAATAATTTCGTGATGATAACTTGGTGATCTGACATATGAGGATAATCAAAAAGTAAATTGAAAAATGGCAGAACAAACAACATAAGAATCGTTTTGAGAATGTCAAAAAAGACATTTGAGAAAAACTAAAATGGTAAGAAGCTAAAAATGTAGATTGTCGAGTAAGAAAGAAAACTAATGTTGTGAATGTAGACAGAGACAATTAAGCCACAGGATACAGAGAGTAATGGGTAAAATGAAAGCCATCAAATTGTCATCTTTAAGTAAATATCACAAATGATATCTGTAAGTTGGGCAAAGATTACAGGGAAAATGATTCTTCTGTAGTAATGTTGACAAATCAGTTTACCGGTGAATTTATAGCTACACTTGAAGGCTCTAAACGCTAGGAGAGTTATCTCTTAGTGATTGTAGTTTTCCATTGTCTATAATAAACAAAAAACAAAAAAGAAAAAGAAGTAATCCGGACAACATTTTCTTAATTAAACGTAGTTCTTTAAAATACTGGAGACTTTGACAAATAAGATAGAATAAGTTAGACAGGTTAAAATTTTAAAAATCAAATACTGAACTCACTTTTTGTACCATATTTTGTAAATGATATGTAATTTTAGGATCAGGCTAGCTTGGTTCTCAATATATTGTTTTGTCATTATTATAAAGCATATCTTTATTACCTGAATTTGTTTTGTAATCACATGCTGGATCATAACCAATAAGCTAGGGAAAGCGAACGATGTGATTTTTTATTGTTTCAAATTAATTAAACAAAATACCTCTAGTAACAACAGAAAACAAAACAAAATATAAATGAACAATACTCTTCGCAGGATATAGGTTGTGCATGTTAGAGGTTTTTTTATATACTTGAGAAATAAGCAGCAGGGATTTTCTTGATTTTCTCTAGAGTTCCTTTCTTTAACCGTTCCAAAGCTCCAACCATGAAATGAACAGTTCTAGTTTTTAAATATCACTTTTTCTATTTCCATCTCCATGTCTTTGTATATGTTTAATTTTTCAAAACCTTCTCAGAAATGATTTGTCACATGGCACGCTCATATTAATCAGTGTACTAACATATTGATAACAATGCACGATTTGCGTGTAATAATACACGTAAATCGACCTGTGTTAATAAAAAAAAATGCCCAGAGGATATTAGCATCTGCTCTCTGAACTACAGATTGAGAGTGATGTTCATGTGATGTTCATGTGATGTTTGTTTTTATTTAATATTGCAGCTACACAAGATTGGCCTAAGAAAAAAGTAGAAAGCTTTATTCTTTATCAAAATAAGCCCATAAATAGATTGAAAGGGCGTTTAAAAACTGAGAAAAGTTGCAGTAATGATATATTCATATAAATGGGGATACGTAAATGTGTAAAGTCCTACTTCACGTGATGAAAGCATATTAGTAGCAGGAATACAAATATTGTTGTAGGTACTGTGATTAAGGAATTTGATCATGAAGACATTTACCTGAGTATGAATGAAGTTATTTGAACATAATATTCGAAGACAAAATAAAAAAAATAAAGAATGCATCAGGTGAGTATTAGTAGTGATGAAAACCAAATTGACTTCCAAACATGTAATAACGGCCATTAACATTCTTAGAATCCGAGTTGTAACGTATATCTTCAACATAATGAAGTCAAACTTAATTAAACTCAAGAAACTTCTTGCAAAAAATCGCAAAAACTCAAATACAATATAATGCACCATGCTAAGGCATATTTGAACTCTCTGTATCTGCCACAAAGCAGTGGGGTAAGGAGGTGATTCAAATGAAATTGTCTTACACAATTTCAACAATGGAACTTATTTTCGAGGTTCCCTAACTGTATGAATGTAAGCGTTCTACTATATTGACAAGTAGGACTAGCTGTTTTACTGCTGAAGTAGGACATTCACCCGCCACATCTACTTTAACAGTTTCTTTTCTTACACTTCCCACCTGTGAAACTCGTTTCTGATTTAAATGAAATGTCAATTGCCATCTTCTGTCTTTAAACCTGCTCCTTTTTTTCTCTTTCATTAATCCTCCCAACCCTCAGTCTTCTCATTCTCTTTCATTTTCACTGTCAGTGACCCACTGCGCCGTAGTAGCATTATCGACTTACTTGGGGAGAAACGATGGTAATGGTATACAAGTTGAGTTCTTCCAATGGCTATACGTTCCTTCGATTATTATAGAGGATTGTTGACAAACAATTGATAGGTCGATAATTTTTAGGCACATCTGTGTTATTATTTTAGGGTAACAAATATAGTTGAACCATTCTTGTGTTTTTGTGGGCTCAAGCGTCATTTCATTAAATAATTTTGGCATAGAGGCATGAGTAGCAGAGAAAATGTCAAGCCGGAATTTTGTAAATCTTTCAGTTCCTGACGTTTATTTCTTTTTGGTGTAATATTTTGCCATTCTTTTTCTTGGGTGTTTCCCGTATTTTGGTATTTCCCATATCGCTTAACTATTTAGTATCCACATGTTGTCATTAGTCATCTTGCCATATGTCATTCCAGAATAGGCTTATTTATATTTGCAGCAATGTTTACTCTATTGTAAATATTTGGCTTTCTATTTCTCTGTAAATTTTCTTTCCGTCTGTTTAAAATATTTTGTTTGGTCTATAGAATATTTCTCGAGCTTACGGTAGCTTTGCGCTTTAGTCTGGATTTTGTGTTCAAGTTCTTCTTTCAAAAACCGCATCCATGTTCATTATTTTTATGAAGTTCTTCCAAAAACAGATATTTCTGTTGTCATTGTCGTAAATTTTCTTGATATTTAACTTCCGTCTTCGTTTATTATTTAGTAATCGGAGTTTCATCGTTTTCTGATTTATTAAACGCTTTGACTGAATAACTTTTGCAGCATCATATATCAATTGATATAGTTCCGTCAGATTAGCGTTTGCTGCATTGGATATTTCGTTTAAAGCAAAATTTCCAACATAAATTATGTCTAAACTTATACTTATTTCTGATATTCAAAAGTTAGCTATCTTGTGGACGTCATTGTTAACAACTTTCACCAGCTCTTCAATTATTTCTCATTTCCTAGTTGTAATATAATATACATATTCTTTTTCAAATGTCATTGTTTCATGATTCCGTTCAGTTATATTTTCATCTACCTCATTCTCAACATCATTTGATTTGTCAATACTTGGGTTGTAGATGCCGACATAAGATAAATTAGTGTTCTCAACTTCAACTTCAGTCTCCAGCTGTTTTTTGTCTGCTGTCTGAATATAATTCTGTTCCGTGTTTTGTCTGATTTTGCACTGAAATCTTGATTCAATTTATAGTAGATCAGATGAAACAGGTAAGAAACTACTCTATGTGTTTTGCTGTTGTTTCGTCAGAAACCTAAACAAAGTTATACACTGAGCAATGTCAAAGACATGCAGAAAGTTACCACCTTATAATGTACGTGGAAATATTCTTAGTTTG